ACACATTGAGTTTTGGCTGCATTGTAATCTATGTGATGTTCCTTTTTCAGCCGGTGTATCAGATGCTCTGTCACAGTCGTTGCCATCGCTCCTTGGCAACCCCCATTCGTCATCATCTCGCTACGCTGCAGGTGCTGCAGGAGCTGGTGGATCAGCAGCTTCAGCGCAGGATGGTGTCGTCGTCTCTCAGTCTGTTGATGACAATGCCGTTACGAATCATGTCCGTGGATCCAACATACGTCGGCAACCTTCTACAGCTCAACGTGCCCTTTCCGGAATCTCATCATTCCTCGGAGGAGGCAAGTTGTCCATAACTACTTACTTACTAAAATGCCAAAAATTCTCCTCTGAAGATATCACGCGAGCATTACAACTTGTTCCAGTACTACTTGTTTAGGTGGTGGCAACACTCCCACTCATGCTGGCCTGCCAAGAATTCCAGGAATCCCTCTTCTACCGGGAGGTATTCCCCGAAACGCTCAGGGTCAAATCGATGTCGTTAACCTAATTGGTGAGTTATCGTAGGAAGTGTTCTCTTTTCTAGATGTCGTTAAATGAGTTCAGGGAGGACATACTAGTAATGAGATCTATTGTTCATCAGTAATTTGCTAATTAGAGGCTTTGTAACATACTTTCCGATTGCGACCCACTGATATGGAAGTGTGTTAGTAGCGCACCGTCACATTCAGGTCATTGGCGCGCACGCGTTCTTGCACGTAACCAAACATGCGTAATAGATTGCTATCAGACAAGGTGTTTCTATCAGGCTGGCGGAAATTTGGGGACATTCATTGAATCGTGAAAATCCCTTGAATTTCAGGCTCCATCACACGACGACTCTCGAACGGAACCACCTTGGCCGATATGCTGCCACCTGAGCAACTTCAGACGTTGGCTGATAATGTCACTGATGCTCTTCTACCTGAGACTCCTACCAACTTTGACCTCAGCAAATTCATGGGACGATGGTTTGAAGGAATCAACTCACCACGTGCTACTGAACAACGATGTGTCGTACATCACTGTAAGTAGATTTGTCTAACGTCGACACTGTAGAAGTTTTGCTCTTTTTTTAAGAATCTATCGGCTTTATTTTGGTCAGGACTACAAGTCCGAAAACCTACCGGTCACCCTTACATTTTTCGTAACTCGAGAGTTCCGAGCAGAGTAAGGTTATGAAATTTTTGGGCGCAGAAGGGCTATAGGAAGAAGATTTTGAGTCCTTTCGGATATCTGTGATTGCAGTACAGGAGCTGGGATTCCTGCTTGAAGGTACGGTCTGAATTGAACTAGCGCTAGAATCTTCATTAACGGGCTAGGCGACC